ATCACAATTTAAATTCTGAGATCAATTATCAAGGAGTTTAACTATTTGATCTTTTGGGTGTGAGAAAAGTTAAATGCATGGACTATGTCTCTTCTAGAAATCCTTCCCATTCCTTATACTTCCTTATATTTCAAATTTCTAGAAATAGCGTGTCCAGTCTTAACTCATTTACACCTTACATTTATCTTTAGAATATTAAGCATCTATAATGTATACCCTGTTAGATGTTAGAAACACAAGATGAGTAAATCAAAACTAGTCAACAGTAAAGTTTCGGTTCTCTTTCAAAAGGTTTTCAGTCTATAAAGCAGATAGAATATGGATTCCATGTTACAAGTGAAAGGTCAGAGTGCCGAGATCCTAAGAGCTCAGAAGTATTACCTAAGGTCTCACATATAGTGAGCAAAGAGCCAGGGCTTCAGTAATCGTCCCTGGTTTCCGGCTGGGGGCATTCGATCACATCAAGCTAAAAAGCTGCTTCACAGCAAAGGAAACAATCAAAGTGAAGAGTCAGTCTCCAATATTTCTTCAAAGGTAATCCCCGATTACTTAGTATCGTAACCCCTCCGTTTCCCAGGAGCAAAAAGGAAAGCATCTTGAATCCCTCTATAATGTTCACATGCTCTTAAAAGTGGAACAGGTGTTCTCAGGGTGTGGAAGAAAAGCAAGGCATGAGTGGGAGTTAAAGCAGCCGTTGTAACCAGACCAAATTAATCTCTGGAAACCGGAGCACCCAGCCAAGTCGATGCTTTTTCAATTGGGTGCCACAGGTGACTCATCAGAGACAGCTTGCTTTTGGGCCTTCTGATATTTTTCTTCAGGGTGGGGTGTCAGATTTCCTTTGCATTTTTGGACAACAGCCCTCGTGTCCACTTCCAAATTTGTCTGATTTCACAGCCCTCACGCAAAGCCTGATTTCCTATCGGAAGCTAGCCTTAGGCAGGAAGTTTAGGGAATGAAGAAAAAGGTGAAAAAAATGAGCCAGAGGCCAGGAGAGAGGCCTAAAATGGGGAAATTCGCACTTAAAGAGCTTTCCCTACCCCAGCCCCGCAGAATGACAGCTCTCCTCCGCCAGAAGACTACCTCTCCCGGCAGGCACTGCGCGCCCCACAGCCACAGGCTGGCCGGCTCCTTACTCTCCACCTCCGTCCAAGCCAGCCAATAGGAACCCCGACTTGGGTCTCCGCCCGACCCGGACCACGCGGGAGCCGGGGCAATAAAACTACATTTCCCGACGCGCTTATGCTTGCGTCCTGACCAATCAGCGCCAGGGGTTCGGAGGCTGGGGGAGGAGCCGAATGCATAGGACACCCCATTGGCTAGGGGAAGCTTAGAAGAGCCGGAACCCGGGAGCTGGAGAAGCGAAATGACATTTCCTCTTTAAATAGCCGGACCCCGGGCTCCACAGAGAAATGGCCGCGTCGGCAGGTGGGTCGTGTGCTGCTAGCTAGGGCGGGTGTGGAGGGAGGAGGGAGAAGGTGGGCCGGGGCCAGGCACACGCTGTGAGATGAGGAGGTAGCGATGAGGGGCCGGAGAGAAGGATGGAGAGGTGGAGTGGATTGAGGGAAAGCAGGATGAATGGTGTGGAGGGCGGTGGGCGGTCCGGCCGGACAGGGATGGGGAGGCTGGGTACCCGCCGCCGCTCCAACCCGTTCGGGAGGCGGTTGAGAGGGCACCGGCGGCCGCCACTCGTCGAGCTTCCCTCGTGAGGCTCCTGCCCACCGCTCTCGGCTGGGACGTGCCGGCTCTCGGCGGAGTCCCCGCAGACGTCTCGCCTGTTCTACGAGCACGCTCCCTTCGCGAGCACGGGGCACCGAGCTCGCCGGGCTCCCGAAGGAGAGGGCTGGCCTTTGAACTTGTTCGCAGCTAGCTCTCAGCTCTCTGTCTCTCAGATCCTACATCCGCGGTGCCATAAGGCAGTGCGTATACACGCATATTTATTTTTGTAGGCGGGGGGGAGGAAGCCTAGCAAATAAAAAACCCGGTGACGCCGTAACTGGCTCGGAACTTGTGGTTGTACGATTTTTCTCCTCCTAGATTTAAGTAAGTCTTCCCCAACACCGAATGGGATTCCATCTTCAGACACAGCCAACGATGCCATGGACCCCTTCCATGCTTGCAGTATTCTTAAGCAACTCAAAACAATGTACGATGAAGGACAGCTGACAGACATTGTAGTGGAAGTGGATCACGGGAAAACATTTTCCTGTCATAGAAACGTTCTTGCTGCAATCAGCCCTTACTTCAGGTATGATGATGGCAGAAACTTCTGTTGATATTTGCACGGAGCTCCCTTTCCCCCTCAGTATTGTCCCCTTGATTATTATACTGAGATGCAGTAACGAAATGAAACCAATGAATTTGTTTCCTCAGAATAGATAGCAGGCCCTATCTTATTAAGCCCTTGTTTTTGACTTGAGAGGTTCTTCTAGAGTTCAGGTGGTGGGTTTTTAAGTTAGCGGACCTATGTTTGTTTGAGGTAAATGACCAGAAAATCTAGACTTCAGCTGTCAAATAGGGCAGCCACTAGCTGCCTGTGGCTATTTAAACTTCAGTTACTCAAAATTAAATAAAATTAAATATTTAGTTCCTCCATTACACTAAACACATTTCAAGTACTCAGTAGCCACATGCTTACTGGCTGCCATATTGGACAGCAAAGATATACAGCATTTCCATCACTGGAAGTTTTATTGGGCAGTGCTGATCTAGAATTTGTTCCAAAAAGTTATCCAGGATGCATATATTTTTCAGTGCATGTAACTCTTTTAGAATTTAATATATAGTAGCCTGTTCCTTTAAAAACAAATTACCATTCAACAGATTGTTTTAATCCTATGGGGCTACAAGCAGTGGGATAAAAATGAATGAAATATAAATTTCCTTAGGCCCCAAACTAATGATTTCTAAGATTTCCAGAAGTATTTTTAAGCTAAGCTTTTATTTTCATTTATATTAATTCTTGTTTACCATAGATTTTGAAAAGTAAAATGTTAAAACTTGGGTCTGAAAAATAACTTTCTACTTCAAGAAAAGATTAATGGAAAATGTAGTTTCCTGCCTGAGTTTAACTACTTCTTTTGTGGCAAGTGCACACTTTTTTAAGCCTTTCAGTATTGAAAAGTGGTGCATAAATGACAGTAAAATCATCTTCTCAATCACATTCTAAACGTGCTTTTTCTTTTTGAAGGTCCTTACCTTTATAGGACACATAGCAGTGTAATGTTCCAGACAGTAGTTTCTGGTTCCTTTTTCTCAGAATACTGGGTTAAATATAGTCACTTCAGTCTGATGCTTGTGATGTTGTAATCGTTTAGACTTGCCTAGGGGTAGGTCATTGGACTACTAAGTATTAATCATCACAAAACAATGAGCTGGGGGGAAAAAATGAAACTCATATATGCAGAAGTTGTGAAATTTGGCCTGGTAATGGCTATGGTGAGAGTGACTTACCCAGGCTATCCGTTAGATATGGTTAGGTCATTTATGTGTTTAAATATATGTCACCATTATTACTTATCAAGCTCTGGCTAAGCTTACTTTACATATACTGCCTTATATAATCTTTATAATCTTATCTCTGTACGCTTGTTCCCATTTTACGTATGAAGAAACTGAGGCTCAGTGAGGTTAAATAACCTGCCTAAATCATCTAACTGGTAAATGATAGAGGCTGGATTTGATTCCTGAGCCAGGCTTCTTAGTTACTAGATAACTCTTAAGGAACA